CTGACATGGTGAGGCCGGCGCCTCTTTCTTCCATCTCTCCCTGCCCTCTGCATATAGGGGCTAGTTTCAGATTATACCAGAAAAGCTCCCGAGATGATTGTTAACCTACAAGTACCTAAACATCTTTGGTGGGAAGACCAATACTCACCCCACTACAAATGGATATGAAAATTTTTAAAATAAATAAGGTTAATCACATAAGGCATTTGGCACATGTAAAATGCTTTACAAAGCTATTGTTAAAATAAGTCTGTAAAAAAAATTTTTTTTTTGAGAAAGACAATCACAAATTTACCATAGGAAGCATACTGAAAAGTTTTGAATTCAAATCAATGATGAGTGAGAGAATATATGTGAGCTTTTCTTATTTTCTTCCTTATTCTGATGAATAAATGTATACAAATCACATTTTAACATAAAGAGTTAAAAATGTAAATCTTCAGGGCACCTGGGTGACTCCGTCGGTTGGATGTCTGACCGTTGATTTCAGCTCAGTTCATGCTCTCATGGTTCATGAGATCTGGCCCCATCAGGCTCTGTACTGACAGCACATAACCTGTTTGGGATTAGCTGTTTCTCTCTCTTTTTCTGCCCCTCCACCGCTTGCACGTGCCCTCTCTCTCTCTCTCTCTCTCTCTCTCTCAAAAATAAATAAGTAAACATTTTTTAAAAATTTAGTCTTCATCACTAGACACTTTAACTTTCTATTAAATGAAATGCCAGTTAAAAATCATGTCTGCGGTGTCTTTAATTACCTATATCACTCGATAAATGTCTCTTCTGTTACCTTATTTTCACCCTCAAATGGGATGGAACATCTGGATCCCATTCTAGCAGCTGTAGTCAACTTTCACTAACCTTTGAGATTGTGGTTATGGAGTAAAAGTGGGTTTCACTACACCATACTTCGGTCAAAACCCTTGTAGGTATAAGTGGTAGAAAGTCAACTCAAACTGTTTTTTAAAAGCAGGAAGTGGTAGTGGTGGGAATTAATGGCTTATGTAACTGAGTTGGATACGATAACACGGCCACCAGTTTGAACTTCAGGAACAAAAACTTCACTCTCTTGCTGTCAGCATCTATGGCACCAATGGTTTCTGTGAAGAGAGCCATCTTGTCCCAAAGCATTCTGAGTCATCTCAGTTTCAGATCTCCCCACAGGGTTGCTGAGGCCGTATTGTGACCACATGCTGATAATTCAACTTCCCCGTCTGCCCACTCTAGCTTTCTTATTTTTCCTTCCTTTCCACGGGTGTTTACCTCTGAAGAAACTCTGTAATTAAACTCCTGAACACTACTCTCCATCCTAGGAAACCCAATCTATAAGAATAACTAAGATGTCCAAGTGTCTCAGGCAGATCTGACCTGGGAATTCGAACATTGTCATCACATCTGTCTCCAAACTTCTCCATCCTTCCCTAGCTTCTGATTTGATTTTGTTTGTGCATAATTCTTATTCGACTTCTTAGCCCAAGGTAGTAGAGATAGTCTATGGCAGCAGCCAGCATACATCATTCACAAGGATAGAAAAGCCTCACCTTCTCTACTCCCAAGTCTCTAACAGTTCCCTCCTCAGGCAAAGAACTGTAATTGGCCTTCTTTGGGTCAAGTGCCCACCCCTGGGAAAAACACTGTGTCCAAGAAGATGCTGTCCCCTCATCGGTCATCCTTAGTAGGCAAGGAAAGTGGGGCCACATAATTCATAGAAGCATATAGGGTAGGAGCGTGGCAGTTCCCAAAAGACTAGCATACACAGCAGAGAGAAAAGGAACAGAAATCCACTTCTCATCATCACCGGGAACAAATCACATTGGGAATCTTGGTGTGGTACCACACCTCCCTTTCTTCAGCAATTTCACATATCCTCCTTGAAATAAGTTAGGAGCCTAATTTATTAGCCTAATTTTACTTGAAAAATCAAGAAGAATTTATACTCAGGATGCACAGCTAGGGAATTTCCTAGAGACTGGATCTCCTTATCTCCTTTTTGGTCTCAGCCAGAGATGTCAGGATTTCAGTCACATCTGAGGGTGTTACTCATGCCTGCCTACTGGGAGGGTGAGTACTTCTTTCTATTTAACACAGTCTAGCTTGACACTAAAAGCTTAGGAGACAGTGAAGTCGACGTGGCTGGGAGAAGATATAGAGGCTCAATTTTCTTCATTCTCCGTATCCAGCCAATGCTAGTCATCCATTACCCGTTGCTTCTTTTTCAAACCCTCTGTCTTTCCGAGAGCGGAGCACATTACAATTTACTTGAACAATGTTTTCCAAAGAGAAGGTACTTTCCATAAAAGAAAGCTTTTACTCTCTCTGTCTCTCTGTCTCTCTCCGTCTTTCTCTCTGTTTTTTGTTTTTTTTGTTTTTTGTTTTTTGTTTTTTTTTGCAACTGTTCTCTCTTCTTCTAGCTGTGAAACTGATGGAGGTTCTTAAGGCTCTCAAGAAATCTCTACTCATAACCCCGTGATTACTTTTACAAACGGGGGGAAAAAGCAATAGGAGGGAATGGTTGAAAACCCATGGAGAATATTCTTCCTCTTGAATTTTCTCTCAGATTGTGGAGGGAGAGGAAGGGGAATTGGAAAACGTTCAAGAAACAGCTTTATGTGAAACAAAGAACATCATTTCCTAGTATATGAATATTCATGATCCCCTTCACATTGCATCCCCAGCAGAGCACAGGCATCAGGAGGTAGATGAGAAAATGTGGGAGAGACTTGAAGATTTAGATGGGGTAAAGGAAGACAAACCAGCAGGCTGGGAAAGAGAAAAGGGGCAAGAGTAGAGAGGAGGAGATTTTGATAAGTTTCAAAGAGCATGCTGGAGCCACAGCCACCCCCGTGGAGGAATCTGAGAGCTGCAGAGGGGGAGAGCAGGTGTTTAAGCAGCTTCTTCCTCATTGCCTCACTTCTTTAATTACACGGGTAAAAGAGTACATGCCTGAATTACATCTTATTTTTGTATCAGGAAAAGTCCAGTCAGGAAAACAAACCACCACATTTTAACACTGGGGGTTTCATACCAGGAATTTGTTACAGGGATGACGGGGAAAGTGAAGAGTCCCAACATGGGTGTGGAGGCAAGATAAAGATTAACAACTACAGGAAGTGGTTACCACCCTCAGTGTAGGAGGGACGCGGGAAGGAGGTGGTAGAACTCAAGCCCAGGAACCAGGGCCATCTGGCAGGCTAGAACTACCGTGGCGATGGCCAGCAGGAGCTCATGCCATAGAGGGAAAGGCTGACTGGTAGCTGCTGGAGCCTTCGTGGAAACACAGCCACTTCAGAGATGCCACTTGAAGCAGAAAGCTGGCAGGAAAAACACCCTGGCTTCTCTCCTGCTCCTCAGCCTCCCGATTGGCCTTGGCCGGCCAACCACACCAGAAGCCAGGGGGCCAAGGAGCCCGGCAAATCCGAATCGGAATTGCTCCCTGAAAGGGAGCAGAGCAAGAAAAGGGTGGGGAATAGATCTCAGAGCAAAGAGGCAAAAAGCGGCCCGTGTTTGGGTTGTCTAACTGTGTTTTTTTTAATTCACTGCTGTGTGGAATGGAATCATGCAGCCGTCTGCCCTTTATGTGGGTTATTCATGATCTAAGAGCAACAGAGAAGGTCACAGTTTAATACCTTTCCTTCGATATTAAGTGAGAAATAGTACTACTTCACTAATTCTGTGGGCTGTCTCAAGCGGTTCATAAATAAACAACCACAGCGGTTCATACTTCTCTTTTGGATTCTCTCCTTCCCGTATGCTTCTGTTATTTCTGATTTTAGCTCTTCATTAACTCTAGCAGTTGTACAACCACGTTTGTGCCATTGGTCAGCTTTGATCTCATATTGGGGTTACCATCCTACCTTCCGGTCTCTCTCATGTCCTGAAGACTGAGTAGTAGTGAGGGAAAAAAATGCTAAGTCTGGCTTTTGGCATCTGCCACCTCTGATACACATTTGTTTGGACCCTATTTACATAGCTAGCCTAGGGGATGCCATGTCTGCCTAGGAATACTACAGTCATCCAAACGTTTTGCTGTATCTGTTATGTTTTTACTTCCTGCACTTGTATGTGGGGTGATTTGGGATGGGATGGACATTGTTAGGCTTTTTGATTCTGGTATTGGTTAGAAGTGTTGCCAAATTGCTTGGATTTCAAATCCCAACTTTACTATTTCCTAAGTGCACGACCTTGGCCAAGTAACTTAACTGCTCTGGGTTTCAGTTTCCTCATCTCTAAGTGTAATCATACTAACAGAAACTACTTTAGGGGCTCCTGGCTGGCTCAGTCGATAGAGCGTGTGACGCCTGATCTCCTGGTTGTGACTTTGAGCCCCACGTTGGGTGTAGAGATTACTTAAAAATAAAATCTTAAAAAAAAGGAAACTACTCTTTTATAGGGGTTGAATTGTTAGAATCAAATGAATTTTTTTGTATACTGAATTATATATGTGTGTGTGTATGTGTGTCTGGGTTTATACACAAATGCATATCAATTCATATGTACATATATATGTTCGTCTATATATGTATGTGCGTGTATATGTGTATGCACACATACACATATGTATCTTAGAAAATTGGCACGATGTAAGCATGCTATAAATATCAACCATCATTGTTACTATTATCATTCTCAACAAGACTAAAAAATGCTGCTCAGCCTGTCAAAAGATAATGAATGACTTGTACCCAGCACAGAGTCAGGGCTTTTTCAAAATTGCTACTTGATAACTGGTTTTGAAAGTTAAGTCCGTGTGTAAAATCCATCCCATCGTTGGACTATTATTTGTCTCTCAGCTGTAGAAATTGGTTTCATTTCCTACTATGTTTAGTTAGGACTGGAGTTTTACAGACCCCTTTTCTGCAGTGTTCTTTTTCTTGTGGTTTAAAGATTTAAAGTTCTTATGGACACAAGATTTTCAGTTGACCAATGATTAGCTAATTTCTGATAATAGAAAAGGAAACTGATTGCCCCAAGGCTGCTGTTTTCATTTCCTCATGGGAAGAAGAAGCAGAGCAGAGAAGAAGGGCAGACAGAACGCATTGATCCTCTGTCACCATGGGGAACTGGGTTGAGAATGAGGGACTCTCCATCTTTGTCATTGTAAGTACCCATGAGAGGCAAATGAGAAATTTTCAAACTTGTCTGGGTTCTCTTGGAAAATGAAATAGAGCAAAACTTTTTGTTTGTTTGTCTTGTTTCTCTGAGAAATTGTGTTGAAACTGATTTACTGTGTGAACATACTTCTTTCTATCTATTAGCTGTAAGCTGGACTGAGTGCATTCTTCCAAACTTATTAATGGGAAGAATGTATCTGGGGACTCACTTCACCTACTTTATTTCTTGAGTCTTTGGGAGTGCTAAATTAGCCAGCATTTCACTGAGGGAGTAGAAGACATTTCATGCTAATGATCTCCGAGTCTAAGTTGTTTACTGATATTTACTCAGAGGTAAAGTTCTCTACTTTTTATGTGTTGATACCACTTAAAAATCGGCAATCGTAATTTTACACCATTTTCCAAATAACAGGTACTAGGCTGGCTCATGTATGGAAAATTGGCCTTTACTTCAGTAATTAAACCAAAAATAATTAAAGTTCTCAACCGTCTTTTTTTTAAAAAGTAACTTTTTCTCTCTGATGTAAACTTGAGCTCGTTGCAAGGTTTATAAAAATTCAAGGGAAAGCAATTGAAATAACTAGACTCATATATACAGTGGATATATGAAATATATATATAAATCGATATGATCCATCTTGAGAAACAATTTTTGTAAGTGATGATATCGCTAATTTTCAAATAAGCATGTTAATCTCTTTAGTTTTTTAGCATAACAAAGATCAACTATCATTTTAAGATGGCAGTCTCGGCAAAGCCATCATGAGCCACTGGGAAGACAGAAATGTGATTTATAAATAGCCTTTCCAAATAGCCCATGAAAGTATTATACAGATGTTAAAAAGAACACCTGTGAGTGGAATTTTTGAAAAAATGTTTTGTGAAGTAAATACTGAGTCTTTGAGTTGTACACACAGAGAGGAATTAGTGGCATAAATAAAGTAAAAACAAGAAAAATTATGTCATAAACAATGGTGCCAAACCAACGTTCTAATGCAATATAGAATTCTTCGGAGGACTCGGAGCTGTTAACTTGATTTCTTACCACCATTTTAAGAACAGATTACTCCTATAGAAACCAAGTTCATATATACTTTTCGTTCCTACCAGAGTTTTCCCCAGGAGATAACCTCCTTCTAAATTACACACTCATACACCTGAAAGCAAAGACACAGCTTGGAAAGCAAGAGTAAGAATGACAAGGTTAGGTAATGGAGAAATGGTTTTAGAACCTTCTTCTTAAAGAGAGATTGTTGTCAAGCACCTATGGACATTTAATAGTGTCAAAGCACAGGTAAGAAAAGATCACTAATAGAGCTGAAGGTAGAGGACTGGGCAGTGTTACCATGTCGTCAGTTCTTGGGATGAAATGAGCAGTCAGAATGTCGAAGGGTCTCTTTTTCTTTCCCTTTTCATCCCCCAAAATGCCCTCCTTAATGCCCGTCACCCATTTATTCCCCTCACCTACCACCCTGTCCAGCAACCCTCAGTTTATTCTCTGTATTTAAGGGTCTCTTATGATTTGCCATCCTCTCTGTTTTTATCTTATGTTTTCCTTTCCTTCCCCTATGGTCATGTGTTGTGTTTCTCGAATTCCACATCTGAGTGAAGTCATATGATACCTGTCTTTCTCTGACTGACTTATTTCACTTAGCATAATACCCTCATGTTCCACCTTCTTTGAAAAAAAATCCCATGCCCCTCACCCCCTCTTCGATACTGAATATCTCCTCTTTCAAAAGTTTGGCAAAACCTACCAAACAGAATTAAAGTCTCCACATTTTAGCTGATTCGACTCCCACTAGCTGGGGGTTGGGATACCGTGTGGGGGAGGGAGGCACCCGTGAGAAGAGAACACGATGTTTTACCAGTGCTGGGATAGCACAGTAACATATTCCTTTCCCTTCTTCTTTGAGAAGACTCACCTGCCGCTATCTATCTGTCTAAGGCTAAGAAGAAAAGAGGAGGCAGAAGAACAGAGGGGAAATAGGTTGATAAGAACCTGGCATACTGGCCAGTAGTAAAACAATCATGGGGAACAAGACAAGGTGAAAAGGTCAATTACAAAGCGTAGCGGCACTGTTGTACTAAAGAGCTGGCTTTCAGCTGGCTACACCGAGCTTTCTAACCACCTTTGTTAAAGGCTAGACTTGGGAAAGTCTTGACCCTGGCCTGACACCAGTCTTATGTGAAATCTACCCATTGAAATGTGGAATCTTCATGTAACTATTTCTCTTTGTGCAGCTGATATGGCTGGGGATGAACGTCTTCCTCTTTGTCTGGTACTACAGAGTGTATGCGTTAGGAGATAAATATCTTTACACTCAGAGACTTCTTGGGGTAAGTATAAGTCCCATCTCGTGCAGTATTGACCGGCTCACATTTCTAATCAAAGATTCTGGTTCATATTCCTTTCAACACTTTGAATAAATGTTCTCACCAACCCGAGCAGCACCGTCACCATCGCCCCTTCCATTGCAACCACCTGGGCAAGAGGCTTTAGGTCTTCCAGTGTGGGACGAACAAAAAGTGGGTCAGAGAATCCCCATGGCATCCCTCCCCTCCCAAGGACTGCTGTGCCACTGTTTAGCTTAACGAAGAAATCTAATACCAATTCTGGCGTGGCAGGCCAGGTTGGAGAGAGCGACCCAAGGGTGACACGGGTGGGACAAGTGGGACTTCCCATATTCTTTAAATCATCTGATTCCTGCCACTTGCATGCTCCCGGTACCATGTTGTGAAATTGTCTTCAGGAAATAAGCCTCTCCCTACAGATGGAGCCTTTGTGGAACTTGGCCAAGGTTTCGCTTTCACTGCCTAGGCCAGCAGAGTGAAGGCCCCCAACTTTCTGTGGGTCCATTGGCATTCTCGATTTCCTTGATCTGCCAGGGCTCTTCTTCATGACAAATGAAAATAATTACAATCCCAGCCGCCCCCACAGGATATCATTTCTTACATCATGCTGAAACCATGAATTCATCACTTCATCCTAATTATAATGTATTATATATCGTTTGTAAAAATAATTGTAATACACGATTATACGACACCAGTATAACTATTGTTAGCTTATTCACGTTGATACTGAGAAGGAGGATTTCCCTTTTCTTCCCTCTCCAAAATAGGCAAGTTCTTAAGGCATTATAAAGAACAATTATAATGCCAAAGCATTACACTATACCAACCTGAGTTACTGCCTAAATGAGTCTCAGTGCGAAGAAAACTTTCTTTAGAAAGCCCCAGTTTCTATAATGATACACATGCTTAAGTACGTAGGGGAAAGTGAAGTGATGTCTGCAACGTACTCTGAAATGCATCAAAAGTAAGATGTGTTGATGGCTAGATAGAGGGATAGGAAGATGGATGGATAGATATGTGATAGTGGAATCTGGGAGTTGGGCCAACAGGTATTCATGGTGAAATCATTTCAAATTCTCTTTATGTTTGAAAATGTTCATAGTAAAACGTTGGGGTGGGAGATGAGGGCCAGATGAAAACAAAGGATCCCACTCTGCCCTAAAGGTAAACTCTTAGCTCTTGAGGAGCTTCCTCCTCAGATGACTTGATGTCTTACCCCATTCCCTCTCCTGCACCTTCCAGGCTGCGCTGCCATTGGCCAGGGCCCCTGCAGCCTGCCTGAATTTCAACTGCATGCTGATTCTGCTGCCAGTCTGTCGAAATCTGCTCTCCTTCCTCAGGGGTTCCAGTGCGGTAAGAGCAAACATGTACAACATTGAAGTTTGAAGTTTGAAGGAAAGCAAACTAATGGTTTGTGAGGATTCCAACCTCTCTGCAATATGCATGAGCCAAGCCATGCCTGATTTTCCATTTTACTTGTATATTCATTGTGGATGGAGCTCCCTGGGACAGCCATTTAACTCGGAATAGACATTAAAAAACAAACAAACAAACACCCAACCAACCTACACCTCAGGAAGAGCAATAAAACACTTGTGCACGTGCGCGCACACACATACACACACACACACACACACACACACCAGACATACATAACATATTATGGGCTTTATGAGGCTGACATGGGATTTGGGAAATACTCTTACAGTGGCATGTTTTTCAAAATATTTAAGTCAGAGAAAATCTCTTTGTGGATAGCAGATGGAATCAATGAGTGAGGAGAGCAAAGCGGGTGACTAAGAGGTGTCAGGTCCATGGAACTGAGGGGTTCAGAGCTTTCTAAATGCTCAGGGCTTTTTTCTTTTTTTTTTAACTGTCACTTCAACAAAGTGGTGAGCCCCTAGATGTACTGTGCTAGAAGAAAGAAACGATTATGTAAGAAGAAACTTTGTAACCTATAAAATGGTATGTGAATTTCTTATTGTTAGTATTATACAAAGACGAGAAACAAGGAGCTTAGAAGGAGCTTCGAATGTACTTAGATCTACGTACTCAAATAAATATGATACAAAGCAAAATATATGGGTCCCCCAAAACATTAGAAATAAGGGGCTATGGGGAATCAAAGAAGGGGGGATTACATCAGGTGGGGCAGGGAATGAAGAATATCGTCTTAGTAAAAATGGCAACAAATATGGGCATATAGGGCTAAAATAAGCCACTAGGAAATGTAAATGAGACAGAAAGACATCCTACATGGATAAAATGGAATGCTCCAAAGCACAGAAAATAGTGAGGAAATTATATTCTTGAAAGCCCCATATAAGCATGACATGTGGCTTCTCTTTGGATTTATCGGCCATTCCTGGCCACACCAAAGAATGTAGCTTTGGAACATTTAGGGATTGACGTCTTGGTGGGACCTATTCTACTGGATCATTAGTAACTAATAGCCTCTGTTTTTCTTCTTAATAAAATGTATGCGTTTTATGTTAACCAGCTTTAAAAAATCTATTAGGTAGAGATAATTTATAGAAGAGACCAGGAAGCAATCCACTTTGATGGGGATGTAGGGATTGTAAAGAGCAGGTGTCTGAAGTAAGGCTGGAGAGAGGAGACCTGGAGCTTTGCTGGTAAACTAGGACATTAAATGAATGGCTGAGAAGTTAATACTTAATTCACCAATCACGGAATATTCAGAGGAAGGAAAGTGATCTAAACTGTCGATAACAAGTAGAATTTGCCTTGAACTCTGCCTTTTTTCCCCCAGTATTACTAAATTTGCTATTTGATTTACAAATATGAGATGAGAGGGACACAACTAACAGTAGACACTGATTACAAGGGTTTCTTTGTTTTTTTAAGTGTTTATTTATTTTGAGAGAAAGGGAAAGAGAGAGACAGAACACGAGCAGGGGACGGGCAGAGAGAGAGGGAGACACAGCATCCAAAGCAGGCTCCAGGCTCCAAGCTGTCAGCACAGAGCCCAATGTGGGGCTCAAACCCATGAACCGCAGGGTCATGACCTGAGCTGAAGTCGGATGCTCAATCGCCTGAGCCACCCCAGCGCCCCTGATTACAAGGGTTTCTAAATAATATTTGTAATCACAGAGGTCAAATTCCATTTGATTTCAAGTTGTATCAATGAGCCACCTGTAAAGTACAGTGCTTGGTATATTGTAGGTACCCAGTGAACATTTGCTAAATGAAGCTCCTATACTGTAGCTTTTTGTTTTTTAGGAAGGCACGATTCATTTTTGTAGCCTTCCTCTTAGTCCCGTTTGAATACTTTCTATTTAGAGGAAGTAAACCCTGAGAAACAGGCAAGGTTTTCACCAGGAAGGCCCATTAAGAAATCCTTGTTACCTCACAAGCCCAAATTGCAGGGCCACTGAACGGCCATGACCCATGAACAACACATGTCATAGTGGCTGCAGTTAGGCTTCTTGTGCTCCAGGAGGGAAGATGTTCATGAAGGTCTTTAAAGACAGGGGTGATTAAGGCTGCTCTTCAAATTGCAGAGAAGCTGTGCTAATCAGAGAGATCTACATGTAAGAGAATATTTTTTTAAGTTTATTTTATTTTTGAGAGGAAGACAGAGAGAGAGAGAGAGAGAGTTGGAGGAGGGGCAGAAAGACAGGGAGAGAGAATCCCAAGCAGGCTCCACGCTGTATGCGCAGAGCCCAAAGAGGGACTCAGTTTCACGAACTGAACCATGAGATCGTGACCTGAGCCAAAATCAAGAGTTGGATGCCTAACTGACTGAGCCACCCAGGTGCCCCAAGAGAATACATTTTTTAAAAATTAGCAGCAAGGAACATTCTTTTATAGATGAGGAGTGTCCCTCCTTCTGGGTTTCCCAACCTGAAATGTGAACTTTGCAAGTGAAACTTCTTTTCTGACTCGTGTGAAATGAGTGTGTTCAATGTGATCAGTGTTGGAAATCCGAATAGCTGCCACTTCCTGAGTCTTCCTGGAGCTCACCTCACAAAATCTGCATGTCAAGCCAGTGATATGGGGATGAAATTAAATGGGAATGTTGGAATTCAAACTCAGCTCATTGTGCCCCCGGAGCCCACTCACCTTCCCATGTGCCACCTAAACTCAAAACTGTCTTGTTGCAGTGTTATGGTCTTTAAAAATTCTATCATATTCATGAATTTGGGACATACTGAATAGCCTAGAAATGGCAAGGATGTTGTAGCTTCAAGGATTTGTTAGTAGGGCATTATGCATTATGCAAACTACACAGTCACAGAACTTTCATTCAGTTTCTAGTGGTCTTCATGAGTCAAACTCTGCTTTATAATCCTTCTAATTATTTGGAGAAATAAAGCCCCAGTATTGGCCCACCCCAGGGAAGATAAAGACTCTTAGCCTGCTTTGTTGTGGGAAATGGGGAAGGATGGAGCTCAGCTTGCAGAACTCCCCAAAGAAGCCTTAGTAATCCAAGCTTGCCATGAAAAACTAAATTCTAAATGGATGGGAGTCGGGGCACCTGGGTGGCTCAGTCAGTTAAGAGGCCGACTTCGGCTCAGGTCATGATCTCGCGGTTCACGAGTCTGAGCCCTGTATCAGGCTCTGTGCTGACAGCTCAGAGCCTGCAGCCTGTTTCAGATTCTGTGTCTCCCTCTCTTTCTGCCCCTCGCCCCCAGCTCGTGCTCTGTCTCTCTGTCTTTCAAAAATAAATAAATGTTTAAAGTTTTTTTTTTTTTAAATAAATGGATGGGAGTCCTAGTCTTAAGATCACAAAGAGAAAGGAAGGTGAGAGAGTGAGCTGTTACCTGTAACCGTATATAGTCTGAGAGTCAGAGGCCTTCAATGTGGCTCTATCTCTAACCATATGGTTTAGGAAAGCCTCTTGGACTTCCTGTCTCATAGGGTTTTTTTTTTTCTTTTTACCTGAAAAGCAGGTGAGACAAGGCAAACGTAAGAATGAACATCACATTCTAAAAGTATATATTAATTGGCTGTGCCTGTCAACTGCTGAGTTGTCAGTCAACAAATATTTGTTAAGTGCCAGCTATATTCTAAGCACTGGGGACACATGGTGAGTAAAGCGTCAGATATGAATGGGCCATGAGCTCAAGGAGCTTAGGGTTTTATGAAAGAGACAGAGAATAAACATGTGATTTCAAAGTTATAAACAGTGATGTTCTTATTTATTACATACGCTATTGCCACCATCCTACTGGACATTACTGTCAGCTCCTTTGCCTGAGTTCTGTAGATCGAAGGCAGGCTTTTGTAATTTCTCCCAAATTTCACATGAACATCTAATTTAGGTGACTCGAGTTCATGGCATGTGTGGTGAGACCAGGTGTACCTAAAATAGAACTTTTACGGATCTGTAGTGGTCACGTTACAGAAACTCCTGTTACACCCCATTAAACATGTACTTCTTCTTAGTTCCATTTCTCATGTAAACATTTTTTTTTCTCTTAAAGTTTAAATGGAGCATAGAAATCGGTTGAGATGGCTCAGTGATCTCCCTTACACTTGAATGTTAGCTTTGTGAGACCGGGCGAGGCTCTAGGTGACAGTAACAGAGAGACTTCCCTTTAGAAGTCAATGGCAAAAGGCCAAGAGGTAGTTCAGTGAGGAAGCCGCGAGACATGATGGCAGCTTGGGTAATTAGGAGGTGGCTGGCAATAATTCAGGAGTGACTCAAAAGAATAAGAATTGTATCTGTGGGACGAGGAGGAACAAAAAGGCCCTGGGCAGCCACAGGCAGCAAAACCCTTCCTTCCCACCCCACCAACCGCTGCCTTGAGACCCATTCCTCCTGGCTGATTAGTGACTAATGGCCCCTGTTTTTCCTTTTCATGAGATGTACATGTTTCATATTAACTAGCGTTTTAAATGAAAAAAAAATTTAAGTTTATGTATTTATTTTGAGAGAGTCAGGGACAGCACTAGTGGGGGATGGGCAGAGAGAGAGGGAGAGAGAGAGAATCCCAAGCAGGCTCTGCACTGTCAGCGCAGAACCCAATGCAGGGCTCAGTCCCATGAACCATGAGATCATGACCTGAGCTGAAATCAAGAGTCTTTCCCTTAACCTATTGAGCCACCCAGGTGCCCCGTTATTAACTAGCTTTTTACAAAAATTACCTATTAAGGTCAGAGTATTACTGAATGGACCTTTTATTTCCCAAACACATCTCTCCATTTTTCTGGCATTCAATTTCATTTTCTCTAATAGATGCTTCAAGCTGATAGGGGGCATCAGAATCTATGGTTGCAGAGTTTTCATGATCTACACTGATGATGATAGAGGTAGAACTATGGAGACACTCTAGAGACCACTTCAAAACTACCTTCCTTTTCTCCCAATTCAGCATGCAAGAGCCAGGGTATTTTCCCCCAAACGTTTCAAAACAATTTGTCAGGAAGAGGAAAAGCAAGCAGCATGGCAAGTATACACACGTGGGTAAATACCTCTCCATAGGTTTAGAATAATCATCTTAGGTTCTAGACTAGTGAGAATGTAATTCATTGAACCAAATAATTACCAAGGGATTTTTTTTACAGTATATGATAGATTGCTCTGCATATAGGAAGCTTCCTCCCTAGTTGGGGAGCCAACCCTACTCGCTGAAAAGTTAAGTGATGATACAAGAAAACCCTCAAATATTTGTGAAGCACTTCTCAGTGAATCTATGGAACAGATCTATGGGGAAAGAACTCCGATAAATACGTATGCAAGGAAGTTAGAAACTGAGCGTATTATTCATGGGTATATCAGATGGCAAAACTTGCTCTCTGAAAAGTACTGGTTCCTGATCCCACTAATTCCCATTGTCTCAGTCTTAGGACTCCAATTTGTCTGCCATCACCCCATTAAGGGCTATGTAATTATCTGTTGCCATGTGACAAATGTCTACAAATTCAGTGAGTTCACACAACCCCAATTTATTAGCTCACAGTTCTGCAGGTGAGAAGGTCAGCATCCTGCGGGTGGTTGGGTTCTCCGCTCAGCATATCACAAGGTAGAAGTCAAGGTGCCTACTGGGCTGACTTCTCAAATAGAAAATCTGGGTCAAAATCTTCCCAGCTCATTCTTGGTGGCAAAATGCAGTTCCTTGCAGTTGTGGGACTGAGGTTTTTGTTTCCTTGCTGACTAGTCATTCAGGGGCTACTCTCAGATCCTAAATGTCCCTGTATCCCTTGCTATGTGGCCCCCCTCCATGTTCAAGCTGGCAACATTGCACCAAATACTTCTTGTGCCTCGAATCTCTGAATTCTTCGGTCTCTGTGTCCTAGACCCAGATTTAAAGAGTCATGAGATTGGTTCAGGCCCATCTGGATAATCTTTCTCATAAGGCCAACTGGGGACTTTACTTACCTCTGCAAAGTTCCTTTTGCCATGTAAGGTAACAAACTCGTAGGAGTGATGCCCTATCATATTCACAGGTCAGTTCCCACTCGCGCTCAAACGGAGGAGATTATATCATGTCGTTGGGGATCATCTTTGAATTCTGCCTACCTCAGGGACTTTAAGATACTAGGGAGGAACCTAGCGATTGGGAAACAGAAAAAAAAATATACTTCCTTAAAATTGTAAAGAGGGGCACCTGAGGGACTCAGTCGGTTGGGCATCTGACTTTGGCTCAGATCATGATCTTGTGGTTCATGACTTTGGGCCCTGCATTAGGCTCTCTGCTGTCAGCCCAGAGCCTGCTTCAGATCCTCTGTCTCCCTCTCTCTGCCCCTCCCCTCCTCTCTCTCTCAAAAAAATAAAGATTACAAAAAAGAGAGAGGACACCTTCCTTACCTCGTCTTGACCCAGTAGGGTCCCTGTAAATAGGCATCAAAAAATTCTTTAAAAAAAGAGTAAAATAAAACTGTAAAGAAGACAAAGTAGCAAAACAACATACAGCACTTGAAATAAACACAAAAGACGACGAGGCTATGTAAGAAACAAAGGACAATTTTTCACCAACAGAAATGTAAACTAAGTGATTTCCAACAGGAAACCCTTGTTATGAGATACTGCCCAGCTCTGCCGATGGACTCTCGGTCATAGCTGATGCTGTTGTGGCAAGCAACAATTGGTGTTCCACTAATATTCCCTCCACACTTGTGGTTCTACAGCCCAAGGGGAAGCTGCCTTCTGCAAGCCCCAGTCATTCTCTGCCTCGGAATTTTCTTTCAGCCCTCTCCTGGGGCAAGCCTGAAATGCCAGGGAGTTGATGCCCTGGGACTAGCCCTCAGCCAGTGATGGATAGGAGTTGTTGGATGAATACTGAAACTTTGTAATCCCTCAGGTAAAAAAAGAAAAAAAAAAATCTCCGGAGCATTTTCTACATAGTCTCTTAGAGTCCTCTGATCAGCGAGACTATGATGAAATGATATGTGATATATGACATGATATGATATGATATGATACGATATGATATATGATAGTGATAGTCTCACTTCCCCTGACCTTGTTTCCTGTTATCACCTTGCAGCTGAGTACTTAAACTTACAATTCTCGTGTTGGGTTTTTAGACACATAGAAAAATAGTGGCGATAACTTTGCAATTGGCTTAGTGGAAAAGGGTATGAATGTTAAAGACAAATAGACTTGGATCCCAGACAGTGTGAGACTTAGCTTTAGTTTTTTTATCTGTAAAACGAGAATAACGATCCTTGTTGCCACTGAGTGAGGTAATGATTATGCATAAACTGCCTGGCTCACAGAAAGCATTCAATAAAACCAAATTCTTTGTTCCTTTCTCTGGAATCCTCAGTGTTTTCCTCACTGCAAGCCCAAGAATCAGTTCTCATGTTCCCATGCTCTCTGTAGATGTAGCTAATTGAGAGATAGTGGAGTAAGTACAATTTTCCACACAACTACATTTTTTTTTCTATAAAATCAGAGCATTTTATTAAAAATAAGCAAACCCAATATTAAACACCTTTAGAATAAATTGAGTATGTTTAGAACCAGATACTTAGAATACCTAAGATTTTCTTTGGCACTCGGCTCTCCTTAAAATGCTCTCTGTATCTCTGTGGCAGTTTAGACTTGAGAACAAAGCAGCCAGAGCGAACATTTGACCAGTTTCCAGGAGGACAAAGCTTTGATTCCACCATAAAGCAAGGTGTTTATTTTTCTACTTTGGGCATTGACCTGAATCAAGATTCACACCCACATCTTCTAACATGCATCAGTTACGCTAGAGTACTGACCAAAATACTATCTTTAGTGCCAGGGTAATCATACAAGGTATGAAATATCGGAATATTGATACTAGTGGAATCTGATACTCTGATTTAAATCCCAGCTCTGCCACTTATTAACTATATGCCCCAAGACAAGGTAGCCTCTCTACTCCTTTTCTCCTAATCTGGTATATAGTGATAAAAAAAAATGGTACCTCCCTGATAGGATTGAGGTAAGAATGAAAAGTGTCAAAATGCATAGAAAACACTTAAACCAGCTCTTTGCACAAGTTCTTTGTAAATATTAGCTATTGTCACTTTTGCTGTTATTATCTGTTTAACGATACCTCCTTTCGATATTGTCTCTATCAACAGAGGCAGGCAGAAAACTTTTTCTCCTCCAATAGTATATGTCTTAGAAAGATGTTGTTCTCCAACTATTCACTTGTTCTAGAACTGTTCACTCATCTGTGTCCCCATTAGACTTTCAGGGTCACGTGAAATACATACACCTTTTCCCTTGGAAGGAATCCTATTACCCTGCCAGTACGAGGAGAGCTGGCACTTGAATCTGTCACCTGACTAACACCGAAGTTACGGGTTAATATCTTCACGAGGCTGAACCTTCGCTAACAGCCCAGGGTGGGACTGTGAGAGCTCACGTACATTCGGGGGCAGGGAAGAGTGACGGAGAAGACAGACAGAGCCCTTCTCCTTCAGGTCCAGGTGAAATATGCAGAAACTGGTTGTAGGGACGTAACGCTTGCTGCTCAGCAAACCTCGGGCTTCTTGGGCTGAGCTGGTTGTGTATATGGGCGGTTACTGCAGGAACCTCTCAGGTATGCTACTTACTGGATTGACCTTGGGAAGATGACTACAAATATCTGAGCCTCCGTTTTCTCGTCTATCAAGGGCATAGAATGACATAGTTTTTAGGGTGGTCGTGATAATGAAATGAGGTGAGTTGTATATACTGCCCGGAGCATGGAAAGCCTTCTTGTTAACAATTGCTACTTTGTTCTTTTCCCCTTAATCTAAAGTGCTGCTCAACAAGAATTCGAAGGCAACTGGACAGGAACCTCACCTTTCATAAGATGGTGGCATGGATGATTGCACTTCACAGTGGTAAGTTATTCAGATATTAGAAACTGCAAAGAAAACTTGGAGCCAGAGAGTTCCCTCTATTCCTAGATACCTTTTTTATTTATTTTTAATTTTTTGAATGCTTATTTTTGAGAGAGAGAGAGAGAGAGAGAGTCAAAGTGTGAGTGGGGGAGGGGCAGAGAGGGAGGGAGACACAGAATACGAAGCAGGCTCCAGGCTCTGAGCTGTCAGCACAGAGCCCGACTCAGGGCTCGAACTCACAAGCCATGAGATCATGGCCTGAGCTGAAGTTGGATGCTTAACTGACCCAACCACCCAGGTGCCCCTAGATACCTTTTATAAAATAAGAGATCAGCCTTTTTAGGTAGATTAGGTGGTGATTGGATATGTTGTATTTTTTAATTTTTTAATTGAAGTATACTTAGCATACAATATTATATTAGTCTCAGGTGTAAGACATAGTGATTCAACCATCACATACACTATAAAATGCTTACCATGATAAGTGTAGTTACCATCTGGCACCACACAAAGTTATTATCGTATTATTGACTATATTCCCTATGCTGTACTTTACATCCTGTGAGTTATTTGTTTTATCACTAGAAGTTTATATCTCTTAATCTCCTTTACCTATTTTGCCCATCCTCTCACCTCCAACCTCTCTGGCAACCACCAGCTTGTCCTCTGTATTTATGAATCCGTTTCTGTTTTGTTTGTTTGTTTGTTTTGGTTTTTAGATTCTACGTATAAGTGAAATCATATGGTATTTATCTTTCTCTGTCTGATTTATTTCACTTAGTATAATACCCTCTCTAGGTCCATCCGTGTTGTTGCAGATGTCAAGATCTCATTCTTTTTTATGGCCGAGTAATACTCCATTATATATATATATATAATACTCCAATATAATATATACGTATATATGACATCTTCTTTATCCATTATCCATGCCATATTTCTTGGATTTGATTTTAAACTCTGCTATCAATGGATACTTAGGTTGCTTTCATATCTCAGCTATTGTAAATAATGCTGCTATAAACATAGCGGGGCAAATATCTTTTCAAATTAGTGTTTTTATTTTCTTTAGGTAGAATCCCTGGGTCATATGGTATTTCTTTTTTGTTTTGTTTTGTTTTGTAGTGTTTTCCATAGTCACTGCACCAATTTGCATTCCCACCAAGATATGCTGTATTTTTTAATGAATTCTGTTAAAAAATATTCACCACTCTTTCTTCCATGCCAAAATTAAGATTTATTCCTTCAATTCCTAAAACTTTTTTTATCTTAGGCTCTTCTGACAAAATCCCAGTGTCTTCACCCTTTCCTACCCTTTATAATATAAAAAAAAATTTGTTAGTTCATAAACGAGAGCTTTTATTTATCCATACAAAAATACTAGGTTGAACATTTAGATTTGTGGATTTTTGCAGTAACACGACAGGGGCCACAGCCTGTAGTTGAGAAGATATATTCTCTTAAGGACAAGGTGGCCCTTATCAGCTAAGCATCTTTTTTATTATTATTATATATAATAGGTATACATATGTGTATATGTATTCTATGTTATGTGTTATTATTATCATTATTAAAGTTGTGGTGTGGTGTTGGCACAAGGGATGTATCTGGGACCCTTATCAAATCTCCACTAATTCACTTAATAAATAAGGGATGTACCAGGCACAGTGATAAACAAGAGATTTCTGTTCTTCCCTTAAAGAGTTTGTCCCTGATTTGAGTAAAATAGGGTTAGATTGCAAGTGTTTAAGTGGGATTCTCTTCTCCTGTTAGTAGAGCATGAAGGCTTTCTGAGCTGTGGCAAACAAAATGGTTCAAAAGCAAAATGCACGATAAGATCTTATTAGAAAGCAGCAAAGTGTAATGGTTAAGGGCATATATTTGAGTGCCAGATTGCTTGGATTTGATTCTTAACTCTGCTACTTCCTAGCTTGGTGATCTTGGGCAAGATATTTAGGCATTCTATGCCCCAGTTTCCTCATCTGTAAGATGAGATGATAATAATGATCCCTACCTCATTGGATCAATATAAGGATACAGTCATTTAAAACCACTTATAACAGTTCTTGGCACCTAGTAAGTTATATGTAAGTGCTCATTAATTAAGGAATGCAATTTTAAAGAAGATATTCACTGGTATGGCCATTGGTATATGTCAGATCAATGAAATTTTGTTATCTGTCCGGCATAATTGTCAGAGTCAGGTGAATGGGCTAGCTTAAGGCATACATTACATGAGAGTCTTCCTGTTTGAGCATAAATATATCCAAGGGAGAGAGACAAAGAGAGCACATCTAAATATCCTCAGAGAACATTTTATTTTGTAGAATCTCCAAACTTGGTTGGCTCTTTAGGATGGTATAGTTTAGCATCTTCATTTCACAAATGAGGAAACCCAGACCAGAGTCATCAAGTGATTTGTGTACGATCACACAACCAGAGAATAGCTTACTGACTAGAACTGTCTGGCCTCTCTGGCCTGAAGACCCAGTTCTTATTTGTGAGTGTCTTGGGCCATCCCTGTATTTCCCTATAACTTATCGTAGAGTCAGGGGCTATAGGCAGAAACCCAGCTTATAATAAAATTGTACATCCCCTTCACCCTGTTTGTTTCCCTTCTCTGTCCTCTTCAGCGATTCATACTATTGCACATCTATTTAACGTGGAGTGGTGTGTGGATGCCCGATCCAACAATTCCGATCCTTATTCAATAATACTCTCTGACATTGGAGATGCCCCTGGTGAAAGTTACCTCAATTTTGCTCGAAAGAGATTCAAGGTAAGTCTCCTATTTCTCGATTCAGATGTTCACTAGGCCATTAAAACTGAGGACTAGATTTCAGTGAGTGAAGAACCCCGCTTGGCCAGAACAGCAGTGACAGAAGTTGACTATCAGTGGGACAATTCTATAGTGTCTAAGAATGTGGGTACTAAGGAAATGTCTCCCACACTCCCGACCCCACGTGTGGGGGGATCTCTAGAAGTTTTCCAGCTCCTTAAGCTCACCTGTGGAACCCGGAGTAACTCAGGCTCATGCACGACAATGCCCACCATCAAAGAATGACAGGAGCACACATCTAGTCGAACAAAGTTGGCCTCACACCATGAGAAAGTCTAGCACATTCCAGGAAGCTGTTAATAGAGGCTTGTTAATAGAGGACATGGGCTTGTGTAAGGTGGTTCTGGAGGGGCTTAAGAAGGCAAAGATCTGCTCTGGATCAGGTATGGTCAAGAGTTGGGGGTCTTTCTAGGATTGGGTATTTCAGGAATGTTTCTTAGGAGGAATAGAATGGGGCTAAATCTGTAATGGGTAAAGAAGTAGCAGTCACTTGTGTTATTGTCCTGGCTCAGACATCATTCTAGAGTGGTTTTATTTTTGTCTCACTCCATCACAGTCACAGAATGACCTCATCTGATGTGGGTGTTCTATGCACTTGGTTACACGAAACAGGGAATGCTCCGGCCTCGGTGTTAGTACTGGGCCTGCCAATGACTGACAGCTGTCAGAGACGCTTTTCTTCTTTCTTGCCCACACCTGAGGGGTGCCCTGTGTCTGCTAACTGCCATTCTATGAGAAGCCAAGTGCATGGGTAGTGATTCAGCAGTCTTCCAGGGGCAGCCATTTGGGGCATCCACAGCAAGCACTGCCTCCCTTCCAGCAGTAGCTAAAGCTTCCTACACTCAGAGGGAGAAGCTCCAAGGCATCCTCATGTGCTCAATGGCTTGGGAGGATGGCCAAGTAAAATCGCTACAAACCCAATTCCAAAGGTGCTGCCTCGTGTTTAGAAGAGTATGAGAAAAGCTCCTTGATTTTGCAGAAATAATTCTCCTCAGGCTATTGTGAAAAAAATACTTGCATCAGAGAAAACAGAAATTCTTTTTTTGCAGTGTCTGGGATAATTTTTCTTTGATGTCGTTCATGGTCTGTACAGTGACGTATAAGGAAGGTGCTGTGAACATCCTAGGTGTGCCGACACTGCCCTGCTCTGCCTGGATTTCTCTGGACCACTTTTGCTCTGTCTGTGCTCCCCTACCTTTCTGTGTGTTTTCCCTTTCGATTTCTGAGACCCACGTTTCTTTCTCAGAGGACCACTCTGGGGCTACTAGAGTCCCTTTGTCCACAAGCTCAGAGAGCTGCAAGGGCCTGACGGGGACCTCTCTGCGGGCAGCCCTGGCCAATAACTGATGAGGGCAGACCGTGAAAGCCCAGCCTCGTGTCTTGAGTCAGGATGAACTCCGAGGTGTGACTTACCCGCCACAGTTCCTCGGCAGCATCAGGCGGAAGCTACCCTCTGTAAAAACAGCCTGCGATCACCCTCTCATTTGACTTGTTCCTCTTTTTTGTGTCCTATTATCTTCTGCCCAGTCTCTTTCTGGAGCATAACTTTTCAAAAGCACTTGCTCATGCACCCCTATCTCAAGGTCTATCTGCTGCAGGGGGCCCCAGCCTGAGATGTTAGGCATGTCCAGAACACATTTACAAAACAAAGTACTCTGGTCTTTTCCAAACCAAAGGGAGAAAGAGCTTCAGACCCTTTTAGGGGCATCTTCTAGTTGGCTGGTTCCCTTTATTCAATACTCCCTTGCAACTATTTCAGTGTATCAATCAGGACTTCCTATGACACCTCAACCATGTAAGATGTTTTCAAATTGAGATATATCTATTCCAAGTCTGTATCAATCTATGGCCCTATACACTAGAAACCTTATAAATAGGTAGTCCTGCATTTGAGAGCCTACCAGTAATATGTGTGTGTGTGTGTGTGTGTGTGTGTGTGTGTGTGTGTTTTACAGAATCCTGAAGGAGGCCTATATGTGGCTGTGACTCTGTTGGCAGGCATCACTGGCATTGTCATCACACTGTGCCTCATACTAATTATCACCTCCTCCACCAAAACCATCCGGAGATCTTACTTTGAAGTGTTTTGGTACACACACCATCTCTTTGTGATCTTCTTCATCGGGCTCGCCATTCACGGAGCTGGGTGAGTGTTTCATCTCCAATGTCAAGAACTTTAAGGTCCTTCAGTTTCCAGGTGTGATGCTGTTAGAGACACAGTGGCCCCCTTGTCTACGTGTGGTCACCATGCCTGCTGGTGGGATATGAAGGGACGACAGTGGTCAGCTTGAGAGAGACCACTCAGCAACATTTTAGTTTCCTGCATCTGATTCATAGCTGTTATTTCTTCGGTTATTTGAAAATAGCTATTGTTAATGCAGTTATCTCTAGCAAGCTTGGAAAACGCACCAAAGTTTGAGTATCTTTGCAAGTGTATAAGACATGTTAAGGGCGCTGGAGGGGTCTTGGATATCTGCAGTGATGCTTCTTATGGTTTAATTGCTAGGAAATTAGTCCAACTCCCAAACTCGAGGGGCTAATGATTAAGCAAGTGAAAGGGTCGGTGTTTAGTTCAATGAGCTTTGATTCGAGCTGCACATATATTGATTGCCTACCACATATGAGGACTGATCTCGGGCACTGTGGGGAATACTAGAAGGAAAAATACATGGTTATTGCCTTCCAGCATTCTAGTATGATAAGGGTAAGAGCTCTCTTCTATTGAGCACTTGTTATAGACATGAAAAGTTTCTTTTAGGTAAAGACGCTCTCACATCCCTATTTCCTGGGGGAGATTGTAGACAAGGAAACAGACTAACAAAGGTAAAATATGTAGCCCAAGTCACCCGGTTTGTAAGTGGCATAGCTGGCCTAAGGCAGGCTGTGACAAATACTCTCACAGAAACTCAGTGCCCGCATGTGTGGCTGGGACAGTTTCCCTTATTGGGAATCCTATTTATACCAGGTTTCCTTTTTATGCTATTTCACACCAGTGGATTCTCGCACCTGCACACAAAAGTAGGCGTGGGGAAGTACCCTGCTGGGTCTGGGGCTCTGTAGCTAAGCATAAAGGAGTAGATACTCAAGGCCCAATGACTGCTGAGAGCCAAGTTGGCCTACAGGTGATTAAGATCTGAGTGTGAAAAGGGAAAGGATGGAAAGAAACAGCAGTGAGCAACTACTTGTGTGCATTGTTTTTGTTTTTTTTTTATTTACTTCTGAGAGAGAGAGAGAGAGAGAGACAGCGTGAGCAGGGTAGAGTCAGAGAGAGAGGGAGATACAGAATCTGAAACAAGCTTCAGGCTCTGAGCTGGCAGTCAGCATAGAGTCCAACGCGGGGCTCGAACCCACAAACCGTGAGATCATGACCTGAGCCGAAGTCGGACGCCTAACCGACTGAGCCACCCAGGCGCCCCTACTTGTGTGCATTCTTAATCGACTTGCTGACTCTAACCCCTGATCAACTCTTTCTAAGTACTGAAAAATCTGTGTAGACAAAGAATCTCTCTTTTTTAAAAATAGTTTATTGTCAAGTTGGTTTCCATATAACACCCAGTGCTTATCTCCACAAGTGCCCTCCTCCATGCCCATCTTCCCCCTTCCCCTCCCTTGACTCTCCTAAAGCAATTGAAAATCTTTAAATGGGATCTGGTCATGATCCAGCTGTTTCAGAGAATCCTAGAGAAAAAAATGAGTCTCTCCCCATCTCTAGCTTAGTAATTCCACCACTTTATGCTTGTATAGTTTCTCAACTATACATTTTCCTTGGAGCAGGCAGAGGAGACATATTTACTCCACTCTCCATCTGAACAGAATCCGCTACTTACATTACTTGGCTGATTGCTCACAGTCTCCTGACCAGGCAGCAGCTGAACTGGGATTAATATCCAGGTTTTCTGACTTCTGGTCCTGGCAGTGAGAAGAGGGGAGAATCCAATTTTTTTTCTTTGACTTACTTTTACTTTGAACCTGTCATTAGAAACTTTGATCGTTATCATTTGTTAGGCTCTTACTTTGTGCCTGGCATTTTTTCTGAATCATGCCGACTCATTACTAAAATAAACCTTAAATTAGGTATTATTATTACCTATTTCACAGATGAAGAAACTGAGGCTTGGAAGAAGTTAAATAACTTGCCCAAGGCCACCAAACTAGCAAGGGGTAGACGTGGGTTATGAAACCAATGCTGTATGACTTCGGCCCAGAAGTGTTTTCTCCAAATCATTCTGCTTTCAGTTACTAGTTTCTCTAAGCCTTGGTGTTCTCATATGTAAAATAGGGATGGTAATACTTACCATTCAATCTTGTTAAGAAGGTCACCTAGATGATCTGTGTAGAGTGCCTTTCCCCAGGCCTGGCACATAATAGATTCTCCATACACAGTAATTCTTTGCCCCCAAATCTAAGGACAGAAGGGGATGGTTAACAGCCTTGAATTAGAACATTCACAGGAGCCGCTGCATGGCTCAGTCGGTTCAGTGTCTGACCCTTTATTTTGGCTGAGGTCATGATCCCAGGGTCATGGAATCGAGCCCATGTCAGGCTCTACACTGAGTGTGGAGCCTGCTTAGAATTCTCTCTCAATCTCTCCGCCCACCCCCCCGCCCCTTTCCTCCACTCTCTTTCTCTCTCTCTCTAAAAAAAAAGTTTAAAAAAAAAAACATTTGCAGAATGTACCGAGTGGCACAATAGATTTTAGCCCCTACATAGAAACTATTACGAAGGCCCTTCTGTGCCTCTTCTTAGATATTCTGAAGACCCTGCCATTTATGTTCCTTAAGGTCAAGGACATGACTTACCTGACTTTGTGCCTCCTTTCCTCTGTTCCCACTGTTCCCACTAAAGCCACATTGTCTTGTGTGTTAGTAGTTGCTCAAATAAAATTTATGGAATTGAAATGAATGGGCTCTGAGCACTTCAAAGGGCACACCATTAGTGCTGATGTCTGTGAGAATGTCATAACCTCCACAAGTCTTCTTAAATTGATTTCAACCCTTTGGTTCAATTTAGACAATTTGGGGACAACAGATGAAGCGCTTGGACTGAGCCTCAAAGCTACTGTGTATGATTGTATGGACTATCAACTACATGAAGGTGCCTATCCACAGGGCATAAAGTTAGCATGTGGGCTACTAGTTGCTCTGTTAGATCTACAATTTTCCTGTTTCCGTTTGTTTATACATGAAAATACTACTCGAAACAGAAGCACAGATGCTCCCTTTAAGAAAACACATATTGATGATCCAAAACTTACCCTGTGCAGTGTTACATACACATTGTCCCATTGTACATATCTTTTTCCTATTGCTGAAGAAGACATTATTTTCTTTCCCTTCCTCAAATCTACTCAGAAGGGTCAATAAGATATTACTGGTAAGTGGAAGATACAGGATCCAGATTAGAATACTTGAAATATGCACAGAATCTCAAAAAACGAAGGGCTTGATTTCTTGCTACTAAACGGTCTGGACTTACATTTCCTCCCCAGGCGCATTGTACGTGGGCAGACTGAACAGAGTTTGAAAGATCACAAGTATTCTGTTTGTCATAATAGAACCTCAGAATGGGGCAAAATAAAGGACTGCCCAATCCCAGAGTTCTCTGGGAACCCTCCTATGGTATGTACAATTCATTGTTACTATTACAATTTCTTTACCAACAATTTTCAAACTGTGTCTAAGAAATACACACAAATGTCATAGAGCTGTCCATTATGAAGGCCATGGGACTGCTAGAATGTTGTGTGTCTACTTTTTTTTCTGCTATATTTATTGTCTAGAATTATTTCTTGAAAAGCAAGGATTGCACTGGTCTGTTCTGACCTAAAAAGGATTGTTTTTGAAAGTGCTGTTGGGGTTCAAGAAATTCCATCTCTTCTCTTCTGGATATGAGGGCCACAATAGCAGTTAATGATTTCCAGAAGGATTCCATTCTGAGCTGAGTTGGATGGCTCAGATAATCACTTAGAAGGAGCTTTGAGCCTCTTTAGATACCAGGAAGTAAGACTTCCTACACAGCTTTCAAAGCTGTGAAGGAAATGGATGAAGTGATACATAGGGCTGCCTTTAAGCATCAGGAGGCCTTGTCTGTAGCACATGAAGGATGCTGGACAGCCAGGTTCCTACCAACACCCAGAGGCTTTGCGTGTAGAGCGGAGTGTGGCAAGGGTGTCCATGGGAAAACGTGCTGGAATATTTGCCCTCTGTTCAGAGCTCCTGTTGGGTGCTCTCCAGAATTCCATTTTGTGTATTCTCAATATCTCTGCTCCACTGAGTGACAAGTGGGCCCTGTGTTCTTCATATCTTTTCCTCCATTGGCAGGCAGTAAATATACTCTATTGGTTTTCATGCTAACCATTGGTATAAAACTAGATATAAATCAACATTTGTATAGGCTTCTGGACGGGATTACAATTTTTTTAAGCACAGTATAAGAGAAAGGCACACGTCCCATCCCATTTTCTCTTTTATTTTTTCTAATCTCCTAATATAACACTTTTCTTCTTCTTTTCTTTTAATGTATTTTTTTTATGTTTTATTTATTTCTAGGAGAGAGAGAGAGAGAGACAGCGTGAGCAGGGGAGGGTCAGAGAGAGAGAGAGTCACAGACTGAAACAGGCTCCAGGCTCCAAGCTGGCAGTCAGCACAGAGCCCGATGCGGGGCTCGAACCCACAAACCGCGAGATCCTGACCTAAGCGAAAGTCGGACGCTTAACCGACTAAGCCACCCAGGCACCCCAACACTTTTCTTCTTCTAAGACTCAGTATGCTGTCCCAGGACTTAACATCTTGAAAGCATCCATGCTCATTAATGAAAGCACCAGATGTATCAATGTACTGCCCCCACTACAAACAGATATCAATAGAAAGGAAAAAAAAAAAGAAACTGTATTGCAGGCCTTCATATGGCTTAGGGAAAGGCACATTTCCTTGAAGACAGCTGGAATCAGAGTACTACCTTAATAGGCATCTACCTCAAAGGAGCTTCTGGATTTCTGGGATTAGAAGCAATGTCCAAGACCAGCTGTCTTGTTTTATTTGTTTTATTTTTTTAATGTTTGTTTATTTATCTTTGAGAGAGAGAGAGAGAGCAGGAGGGACTGAACTGTACAGAACTGGAAGCAGGCTCCAGGCTCTGAGCTGTCAGAACAGAGCTGACGCAGGGCTTGAACCCATGAACCCTCAGATCATGACCTGAGTGGAAGTCGGACACTATATCGACTGAGCCACCCAGGCGCCCCAGATGCCAGGATGTTTTAAAAACTTGTCCCAGGAAGGGGTGCCTGGGTGGCTTAGTTGGTTGAGCATCCAACTCCTGATTTGGGCTCAGGTCATGATCTCACAGTTCTGTGGGTTCAAGCCCCACTTTGGGCTCTGTACTGACAGCACAGAACCTGCTTGGCATTCTCTCCCTCTCCCTCTCTTTCAGCCCCTACCTTGCTGTCTCTCGCTCTTAATCAATAAATAGACATTTTAAAAGTTTAAAAAAAATTTTTAAAAACCTGTCCCATGAAAACAAATGCTAGCAGCAGTATATTTCTAACTTTCAGGGCAGATATTCTTCAACTTTGGCTGGAGGTGGGGACATTCAGGTACTCTCCACTTCCAATAACAAGTTTCTTCAAAAAATTTAATAGGGGTCGCCTGGGTGGCTTAGTCTGTTAAGCATCCGACTTTCGCTTAGGTCATGATCTCGCGGTTCGTGGGTTCGAGCCCCGCGTCGGGCTCTGTGCTGACTGCCAGCTCAGAGCCTGGAGCCTATTTCAGAGTCTGTATCTCCCTCTCTCTCTGACCCTCCCCTGCTCATGCTGTCTCTCTCTCTCTCTCTCTAGCTCCTAGAAATAAATAAAAATATTAAAAAAAATAAATTGTAAAAAAAAATTTAATAGAAAGACCATATGTCAGACTTTGGAATTTTTCCTTTTCTTCTTTGGAAGCCATCTTTTTAAATGACGTTGCCTTCTAAAACTCTTTGCTATTTCAGGTATTAAACTAGGAACCTAACTGACTGAGCCCTAGGATGGGTCTGTTTGTCCTAAAGGTTTTTATTATATCCAATAATACTACAGGGTAACTCCAGTGTAACACTGGAGATTCTGACCAGAAGGGGATCTAAAGAAAACTAAAAGTCTTTGGGCTTATCCCTATTCATGGGGTACATTGCAGAGCTCTGAGAACTTACCAGGATATTGGAGAAATAGCTGCATTCTTGCATAAAATTTCATATCTTGCAAAAGATTGAGCTTCGACTACATGGCTGAGAGAGAGCAACTGCAATGTTGCATTGAAAAAGATGGTGTTGTTGAAATGCTATCCTTAAGAGAAATATTAATTCTGAAACCAACCTTGCTCTGCTGTAAGGTTATTGCAACGCTGTTGCAACATGAGGAGGAAATCCCATTCTTTTGGGCAGTTCCTCTTGGGAAAGTTTTATACTGTAGATGAAGTTCCCCAATGTGGCCAAGGAGAATGCTCATTTTTATTGATTCAAAAATTTACTTTAATTTTAGATACTGTTTTTTTCTTAAATAGTTTATTGTCAAGTTGGTGTCCACATAACACCCAAATTTTAGATACTTTTGATGTGTTCTGCTGTATAACAAATTAATTAATCTGATGTCAAATATTTAAACAAACCTACAAAGATTACCTTGACTTCTACAATGTTTTGTCCTCATGAATCTTGCATTACCTACTACCCCTTAACACGTCCTGTTTTCATTTTTTCCTCCGATTACAGACTTGGTATTGGATAGTGGGTCCCATGTTTCTGTATCTCTGTGAGAGGTTGGTACGGTTTTGGCGATCTCAACAGAAGGTGGTCATCACCAAGGTACTGTCTGGCTTAGGAATTACTAATAGTATCTAACTCTATCGTGCACAAGTTTACCCAAGTTCTCTATATCATTGGTCAGAGCTATCTTTCACTTGGTTTCTTTCGATTAAACATAGGGCAGAGAGAAGAGCCACAGTTAATTTCAGTCAGTATACTTAGCTTGATAATCAAGTGGTTGGACCTTTTAACTCGGAGAGCTACAGTTTAACATTTTCTGTTGAAAAATAAAGCTGACTGTTTTGTATGCATGAATCTCTCTCTCTTTCAGTGTGCGTGCATGCGTGCGTGCGTGCGTGTGTGTGTGTGTGTGTGTAGAGGGGAGAAGCATACAGTAATGATGTGAGCAGATTAAGAGTGAAGAGGCAAAACACATGAGTTCAAGAGGGTTCACGCTGAGCCTTAAAATACTCAGATGTCAAAAGAATCAGGGAGTCAAGGGCAGGTCTGACTGAGGTTGAGATGGTGTTCCAGGTGTGCCTTTAACTCCTTTTCTGTGTTGTATATGTAGTCATAGAATATCAGAATTGAAGAACCCAAAGTCTCAAGGTGGTTAACAACTAAACTGCATCTAGAATTGAGTCCACTAACACCAGGTAGATATATGGTGGCCTTTTATCCCCATGCTTCTGTGCTGTGTCTCACTACTAGCTAAATAAATATCCAACTAAATAAATAGAAATAAAAATCCCTGCTTATAGCTTCAGGAAACAACAGACAACACTAGATTTATCAAACAAAATTTAATTCAACACAAATACAGTTTTAAAAATGTTCACTAAAAGCCTACTATGGGCTATTTTTCCATCCTCTACCCTAATGTTTCTTTCTTGGCATCTATGGAAGGCCAGAGTAAAGTTAGTCCAGCTGGCATTGGAAATCTTGAAATATAGGAAGCTACAGCACTTCTCTTTTTATGGCACTCATATTGTATTGTAAGAAAAAGCCCAAAGATGAACAAAAAAATCTGCCACAAAATTTTCCTTATTAGGCTAGCCCTGACTAAGCAGACAAGAATTTCCCTTAAACACATTTTAACGACAAACTTCTTTTCCCGTGGAGAAAGTAGGTATTCACTTTTTTCATAAACATAGATATTCGTTTTCTTCTTAAAAAAGAAAAAAAGAAACATGATGTCATCCACAGGTATTCCAATGTCATTTCTATCTACTAGTACATTTTATTTAGTTCCATTCCAATTTTGCCTGTGGCATCAAAATTGCAATAAGGGTAAAAAAATGTTTTCACCATACAAAATTGCAACATAGTGAACATCATTTTCAAAATAATTTTTGTAAATTTTTATTTTCTGTTTTCAAAATGAAGCTTTGTGGCTCCTTGTTTCAGTGAAGAAAGGAAGTCAGTTACAACTCTCTCATTTCACATGTATTTAAATCACAAGTTTTGGAGATGTTTGGCAATGTTTATCGTTTATCAAAACGATTTCCCATTTTACTCCTCCTCGCTCATGGAAAGGAAAGTTTCACAATATCAGTCAACATTTAGGAAGCTGCTGTTTTGTTCCTTTGATTTTTCTTTTCCTTGATGTCTCTTGTTTTTTAGGTGTACATAGAAAGTCCTAGGTATCTCAGGAATTGTCCCAGAAATGTATTACTTTCTGTATTGTAATGACAGCTTTTTATTGTGTTTTTTAAAAATTATTTACCAACTCCCCAGACGATGGCTGTCTGGACTGTTTTCCAATTTTGTGCTCTTATAAATAAACAAAGCTGTCATGAACACTTGCATACATGGGGAATGAGGATGGCAACCGGTGGGTGGGGCCTGGCTTTGGTAGAGATGGATGGTATACTTCCCGGATAGGTAGAAATGTAGACACAGTGCATGGAATCAGGCAGATGCAAGGTGTGACTCAGGAAAAAGATAGACCAGTACATTAGGCTTGGTTTAGGGGATGTTAACTACATAACTAGCCAATGGGGTCTTCTTCTTCCATCCAGCTGCCAAGGCTCTCAGTCATCCTCTGGGGAGACAGGAAGACTGAGCAGGAAGCCAACTCCTCTTCCTGTGTGTAGCACCTGCCTTGACTTCTTGGAGAAAAAAAATATCACAGTAGGCTGGTGTCTCAGGTTAGATTTCCTGGCAAAGACTCTGAGACAGCAAACTGCATATAGAAGGTTTATTGATGCATGTTCTTGGGAGATGAACCTGCAAAAGAAAAGAAAGTCAGGACTGGGGAAGAAATAGCTGGCCCTCCATGAGGTTGCAACTTCCAGCCTCAGCTGATGCTACAGGGAAGGCCAGGGTCAGGATGATCCTTGGGAGTTGTCCCAAGTTGAGGAGAGAGGCCAGGCCTTTGTATCCCTGCTCATCATAGGCCATGTGCTATAGGTGAGGGCAGTGCTCAATGAGAGACAAGTCTGCTTGAGGAAATGGTGTGTTGGCCCTGACAGAGGGATGTGAGTAAGGCATCTTAGCTCAGCCTTTTGTCCACATGGACACTGAAGAGGCAAGTATTTGGGGAAAGCGTAGTTACCAGAGACATGTTTTGTTCCGTAGGTGGTCACTCACCCTTTCAAAACCATTGAGCTACAGATGAAGAAGAAGGGATTCAAGATGGAGGTGGGGCAGTACATTTTCGTCAAGTGCCCCAAGGTGTCCAGGCTGGAGTGGCACCCTTTCACACTGACCTCTGCCCCTGAGGAAGACTTCTTTAGCATCCATATTCGTATCGTTGGGGACTGGACAGAAGGACTTTTCAATGCTTGTGGCTGTGATAAGCAAGAGTTTCAAGACGCTTGGAAACTACCTAAGTAAGTACAAAGTGTGTATTTACAAAAGTGCATGAATTCAGGAAAAATGTCACTAAATAGCTCCTCTTTTCCCACCTCTCGCTATACTCACTGCTGGGTCTGACAAAACACACAAGTTCTACAAATATAGGCAGCTGGTTCTGTGTTCCCCATTGTATGTGGGTGGTGTGTTTACATATCTACGTATAGGTCTTGTGTGAAACATAAAATATTTGAATCAAATATTAATAACGAAGATTCCCAATTTCCTTTAAATAGGTAAGGGTCGAGGTCAAGGCATATTAACTTTTCTAACAAAGTTATAGTGTATCAAAGATGTTCTTAAAATGTAATTGATGTATGTTATTTGAGGGTAAATGCCATATATTATTCACTTTTCCTCCTCCTTCCCACATGCCTGAGACTCAATGAATACACCAATGCAAAGTGGAAGTATTAAATTTATAAGATGTTAAGACAGAAAATTCTCACTTTATCTCAGGGTACGATGTAAATGGGAATCTCAAGTGTGGGATGCCCTGGTAAGAGGTACAGGTGTGTGTGTGTGTCTGTGTGTATGTGGGGGGGGGGGTAGGTGGAGGGGGTGAGCAGATGAAAAGAACAACCTTGAGAGTTATCAAATGTTTTCAGTTAGCTAAAACTTCCTTTTCTTACTTCCAACCACAATGTTGACACTAAGTCAGTTACTTGAAAGCTATTTCAGAAAAGAAAGTGATCACAGATACATCATCCCACTTCGATGTGACATACTTCACACCCCCAGTAAGAACCTGTGCCCCATCGCACTCTGAAGTACAAGATAGCTCCGTAACCGTCTCCTCACACGCTTCCCTCTAGGATAGCTGTTGATGGGCCCTTTGGCACCGCCAGTGAAGATGTCTTCAGTTATGAGGTGGTGATGTTAGTGGGGGCAGGGATCGGGGTCACGCCCTTCGCATCCATTCTCAAGTCCGTCTGGTACAAATATTGCAATAATGCCACCAACCTGAGGCTCAAAAAGGTAAGCTCTTTCCTTTTTCACAGGGCCCGGCAGAGACCACAGGAAGCAAACACAGGTTCCGCGTGGTTGCAGCGAGGCAGGCTTCTCATGTAAGGGCTTTTTGAGAAGTTCAATGTGCTTGCATAGAAACAGGTCTATTATAGAAAGCAATATCCTGTGCTTGCACAGCATGAGTAGAGGTTCACAGGAAAGAAAGTTGGGGCAGAAAGTATTCACGACCCCAGTCCACTAGCTATCATTTTTGTGTGTTCTCTCCCAGTATTTCCCTACAAGTTTACCTACTCTTGCAAAGTTGTAAACACGGTGTCATGTCCCGCTTTAGCAAAAACATATTATGGTGATTTTCAGTGTCGTCACAGGTTTTACAAGGATCCTTTTTAATGATTCCTTCATGGTCCACTGAGAGGATCTAGAATAACTGTTCTAACACCCTGTATTAGACATTGAGGTTGACTCCATTTCCAGTCCCCTACCACTTTTGATTTTGCCAGGGGAGGGCAGGAGACATGTCATTTCATGAAACTTTTACCTTCTTCTGGGCAGCTCCTCAGAATAAATGCCCAGGGCATTTTTGGGGGGTCACATGTAAATTTGGTTTCCTTGCCTGGTAAAGGAAGGACATCTTGAATGAAACGTGAGTCATTAGAGGTAACCTCTAATAGGGATATGTAGCGCCCCTTGACTTTTCATTCTCCCCTTTCTCTCTTCACTGTATGCAGGAGGTATGGGGAGAATTGCTTTTTCCCCTAGGAATTCAGGAATGCCTGATCCTATTGTGCTTTCTGGGAGGAGGTACAAAGAAAGCTGGGGATTTGGGTGGGTAAAGGCAAACCCAGAGGGAAAGTGGTAAGCTAATGTGTTTTCCTAAGTCGTGTATTTCTGAGACCAGCGCTTTCTGAAAACCTGTTTCTAGGCATTCTGAGCAGCCGGAAAAAGTCAAGGGTGGGGGGGGGGGAGTAGAAATCCATATATCAGTTGTGATAAGGCCCATGTAAGTCTCATCTGCTTCACAATCTGTTGCTCTTGCAGATATACTTCTACTGGCTGTGCCGGGACACACACGCCTTTGAGTGGTTTGCCGACTTGCTGCAGCTGCTGGAGACCCAGATGCAGGAGAGGAATAATGCCGGCTTCCTCAGCTACAACATCTACCTCACCGGCTGGGATGAGTCTCAGGTGAGGGCGGCGTCCCAGATCTCAGGTCCTTTCCGCAGAGCCCAGGGCTGACTGACTGCCCTTTGTTTAAGGGAGTGCTTTGTGTACCATTTTTACCAAGAACAATTGATGGATTTCGGTGATCCAGCCCGTCCACCCTCACTCAGTATCCCCACGTGTGCAGACTCACGAGACTAGATTCTACGCTGGTATCTGAGGAACAGATCAAAGCTGAGGAACCTACAAGGGAATAAGAGCCATGACTTTGACCTTATTAAAGCCATGCTCCTACCAGGGGTGTCAAACCAGATGGACAAGATGATCCACCTCCCTTTATACCTCTCTCTATGTATATCTTCATCTTTTTATCAGTTTACATACACACATATTCCTTTAATTTTACATTTATGTGTGTTTTTAATATACACAATACATTTAATAAGTAGTAATAATAACTGCTCATAGTTATTAAGCCTATATACTATGTGCCAGGTACTTTTATTAGTGTTTACATAGATTTTCTAATTCAATCCTAACAACAGCCCTATGAAGCAGCTACTGTTACTGTCTACACTTTACAGGTGAGAAAACCAAAGCCCAGAACAGGTGAGGTCATTGTCCAAAGGTACCCAACTAGTAAGAGGCAGAGGCAGAATGTTCCAGAGCCTGCACTCTTAACAACTCCCAGTACTTCATGATTATCATATATAAGTCAATCGAAACATATTTAATGAGGGTGATATATATTTGCGTATATATGTGTATATGTATGTATATAGCATATATGTATGTGTGTGTATATATGTATATGTGTGTATAATATAATATGTAATGCATGATACATAACACATTACACACACACACACACACACACACACACACACACACACACCTCCCTCCAGGCACATTTAGCAATGAAAACATTCTACAATTTATAAGACAGCCCCCACAACAAAGAATTATCTGGCCTCAAATGTCTAAAGTGCTAACACTGAGAAATTCTGAAACAAGTTAATGATTCCTAGGGAGTCTAAATAAGCAGACATTAATTACCTGGCCTGGAAGCAACAGAAGCTATCCCCCTGTGTGAGGAGCTAAGGCCAGGGCCTCTGCCTATCACTGGCCAGTGTCTCTACTGGCCATTGCCACACATTGGCTCCTCAGTCCTGGGCACCTTTCACATGCACCTGGTATTTGTGAAAACTGGCTTTCCATTTGGGTTTTGGTGTATTGTTTATCATAGACTCTCCCGGTCTTAGACGAGCCTTGTTGCAAATGTAGATCCAGGGACACGTGACCATGAAAATTGCTGCCCTAGAAAAAGGGATTTCACAATGCCACTTCTGCAATTTTAAAAGCAAAACAGCAACAAATATTTGATCAAAATGAGACCTGGCGGAAAATATATAATATAGAAATCACTTTGCAGTTGTATTATTTAAAAAGCCAGGCACCATTTTTAAAATGGGAAATGTATTTGCAGTGAAAAACAATTAGTTTGCTTTACAAAACTGGTCCCTACAGGGTTATGAAACCAGCCTGGCCATCATGCATCCCCATCATCCATCCCCTGTCCAGTGAATTCAAAATCTGATTTACGTTTTAGATACATTTAATTAACCACTTTTATGAAAAATATTTGTTGCTGAAACTGAGGCCCCCTAGAAGGGTAGCATAAAACAACATGTGACTATGTGTATACACACACACACACACACACATACACACAGACTAGCTTTAGACTTGGTTTGTTGTCTCATTGTGTTACCAAAATATCAGTGCATTTCAATCCGTCGTCGTTTCAGTTCTTAGCAATTCTCATAAAGGTCTGCCCTTCTAGATTGTAAATTACCTGAGGAGACCCAGTTTTTTCATCTTTGTTTACCTTCTAGCCTTCAACTAGATAGAGAGAGAGAGAGATAAAAGATATAGATATAGATATGGTTAGAATGGATAGTAAGAGCTTCGTTTGTGAGATATGAAAAGGTATCTGTGGTTTTTTATAGCAGGTCTCTTTGTGAATTCATGTCCTTTCCTGCAGGCCGATCACTTTGCTGTGCACCATGATGAGGAGAAAGACGTGATCACAGGCCTAAAACAAAAGACCCTGTATGGACGGCCCAACTGGGATAATGAATTCAAGACAATTGCAAGTCAACACCCAAAGTAAGGAGTCCCCTAGCACGGTGTTCTTGAGGCCCATGGTCTGCCTCAAGCAGCAGCTCCCAAACATGGCTAAATTCGTGTGCTCTGAAAACTAAAACACCTAGGTTACTTTCTTCACACCCAGTACGAGTTTCTAGATATGTACGACTTTGCAAAAAGATCGTCTTTAAATCACACCAAAATTACCTGGAGAATTATTATAAACAAAGATTTTCGGGCCCCCCACCTGCGACTTTCTGAACCCTGCTCCTCCAAAGAAGGGCCGTAACTTGGTTCTTTTCTTTCAGCTCCTACATTTCACTGGTGTATCTACTTCTTCTAATTCAATACAATTTATACTTTCATTATTAAGGAGACACCATCCCCACTTTCAGTTTTAGTTTTGGGGTCTAAACTCACAAGTTGCCAGACATCCTAAGGTCCTTTCTGCCTTAGCCATTCTGAAACTTTGAGGGGATCCTCTATCTTACTAGAACTCACAATAAACTCAAGAATCACCATGAACACACCCTTGAGGCCATTGCTTTGTACACTTTAATGAGCATATAAATCACTTGGGGATCTTGTCACAATGCAGATGCTGATTTAGTAAGTCTGGGGTGGGAGCTGAGAACTTACCTTCTTAAAAAGCTGACTAGGAGGCCACTGGTCTGGAACCACACCTTGAGGAACTAGGCTTTAGAATCTAAAACACAGAGGGATGAATCCCCACCAAGCCGTTGGCCGAGTTGGTGAACCTAAAGCAGGTTTGTTCCTGATTTCAAGATGCTGGAGAGGGTTTAGGGACATAGAGCCCTGAAGGTAAGTTGTCCACAAACTCACGAATTCACCACCATTTTCTCTGTGGTAGAGGTTTCCATAAACTCTACCTGAAAGTCGTTTCCCAGGGCTGTCGCCACAAACAGGGCTGGACCATTCTCCTGCAGGGTAATCTGAACTCTGCCATTAGTGGAAAAGCCAGAGGAGCAGAGGGAGATAGAACATTTCCCCACGTGCTTTGTAGCCTATCTCATCCAAAAGCCTAAAACGGTTTTATTTTTCCTTTCTTTCCCCAAAGTACCAGAATAGGAGTTTTCCTCTGTGGACCTGAAGCCTTGGCGGAAACCCTCAATAAACAGTGCATCTCCAACTCTGAGTCTGGCCCTCGGGGAGTGCATTTCATTTTCAACAAGGAAAACTTCTAACTGGTCTCTTCCAAGAGAAAAGCAATGAGGGTTATGCTGCCAAGTACCCAACCCAATAATGCTAGTTGATAATGTAAGCCCCCCCCCTCCCCCCGCTTAAAAAGAGAGAGAAAATGAAGCTATAATGTGCAGGTTTTCCCTGAAAGGTATGTCAAAGATTGTTTGATAGTGATAATTTGCATTTGTATGGGGCTTTATGGTTTTTCAGAGCACTTTTACAAACTGTATTTCATTTTTCACTCACAATAATGCCAGAGAAAGGTAGGACAAGGATTTCTGGACTCAATATTTAGGGAAAAAAAATAAGGGCTCGAAACGGTGAAGTAACTTCCTTAAATATTCTGAAGCTTGGACTTCATGCACGTGGCTCCGGGTTTTGTGGTCTTTCCCTGATAGCCTGGAAATGGGCTCGTCTACTCCCCAAAGGAAGCACCAAACCAGGGAGGAGCCATTCATTCTCCATTGTGTGTTCTCCTTGTTATCATTATTGTCACATTGAACAGAATTTTCCAAATATTTCGGAGGAAATACGTGCCTAGAATGATTGCCCACTTCAGAGTGACAGGATGGACATCTGAGCATACCCCAGTTTCGCAAAGCAGCACACTAACTGGGTCAGTGATTCTTCGAACATTGGACTAACTGGAATTAACGTATCACTCAGCATTTACAGTAATGCTTGGCAGAGTGGACACTCGATGAAAGTTTGTTGAATGAATGAAGGAAGGAAAAGACCTTTAGAACCATACAAGACCCCCGGTAGAATTAATTTAAAGCCTTAAACTAAGAACGGTGACAAATAGGTATGTACTATGCCCATCTGCCTTAAAAAAGCATCTACCCCTTGTTTTACTTAAATACACACACAAAGTGGCTCTTGTTTGTGTGGCTAATGTTTTATTGTATCATCATCATCATCATCATCAAATTTATGACCTAGAAACGAAAACCCCCAGCTTTCCTGTGTAGGTATTGCATTCACACCCCATAGAATTTTCTAGATATCTGTGAGTTCAAGAGAGAGCCATTTAAATCACTGTTAGTGTGGCCAGAAGCAGTTGTTTTTTTTCTTAGAACCGCATCTATTTCTGGAAACGAAAACAGCTTTATTTGCCCCACCCTCTAGAGCCACAGATATTTAGAACTACTTTGGTAATGAGGAAGAAAGAAAAGAGAGCTGGGGGGGGGCACAAGACGGGGTTAAGGAGGAAAGGGGGAGGGAAGGGGGAAGAGAACAGGAGAGTGAGAGAAAGCACAAAGGGTCTCACACGTCACTTTCCACCCTAGATTTCTTAGTCTTGTTAGGTATTGAATGTTATGTACTCAATTGAAGGAGGCTTACACAGAATTCATTTTATTTTGATTACATCTGGTATTGAATCTGAGATTCTGGCTGCACATTTTGATGCTGGAAGGGCATATTCATCGGGCTGGGATGAAGCAGTGAGAACTCCGTTGTTCCTTTGGGCTCCCAGGACACGCAGGTCACTGAGGGCCCATCCCGACAAGTCACGCTTGCTGAGGGAACGTTGCCTCCCCAGAATGTCCCGGGAGGGTTTTTACTCAGAGAAATGTAGGTCCAGCCCATTCACACTGCACCCCAGGTATCACTTCATTCATTCACCAAATTTTTATTGTGCTATTACTGTGACTCAGGCTCTGTGCTCATGGTCTCAATTATTTATACCAACGTGTGAGAAAGCAACCACAGTTCTGAGGACTCTGAGAATCCTGGCCCTTTCTAACCCTGTGGCCTGAGTAAAACCAACTCCATCCGTTGCTCTGAAAATATTTCTCCAGGGTTTTGTGTTTGTTTTTTTTGACCTTGATACCAGGATACTTACCAAAACAGAGAGCCCTGCCTGTGTTATCCTGGTTATGAGATGAAAAATGAAGTGTAAAAGTGCTTGCCATTACTGTGTTCTCCTAAGACGCTAGCTGCTAGCTGCCAGTAGAGCTTTTTCAGCTTTTAGTATTTAGCACTTAGCAACAGGTACTGAGAGGAGGATTAAGCATTGTTTTTAACCTCAGTGCTGTGAAGGCTTCTCTGAGTTCTCCTGCTTTTGCAATATTGCATTTATGAAATTTGAATACTTGTAGGTGCTGTATTTGAATACTTTGGGGGGGCCCTGGGAGATACTTCCTAGGAAGAACTGTTAAAACCTTGCTCAACTATTAAAACTGATGAGCTTCTTTTGGTGTCTGTGTTATTGATCTTCTTCGTATTAAAGGGTGGATTCAGACAGTGAAGATTTGCTCTGCCCCAGTGGGGTGGAGATTCTGTGTTTTTTGCATGTGACATGCCAAACATGTTTTGATTCATGGGTTGGGAAGGGAAAACTGGGCACTGAGTTCTATTGCTCATGTCCTAGTGACCCTCAAGCACTGGTAGGAGACAAGACCGTGTCACCTCACGGTCTTGTGGAAAGAATCTCAAAAAATAAAAAACAACCCTGGTTTGTGAGTTTGAGCCCCACAATGGGCTCTGTGCTGACAGCTCATAGCCTGGAAGCCTGGAGCCTGCTTGGGATTCTGTGCCTCCCTCTCTCTCTGCCCCTCCCTCCTCTCAAAAATAAATAAACATTAAAAAAATTTTATGAAACGCTGGTTAACCCAATTCATGTTAAATTTTACTTTTATTTATTTATATTTATTTATAATGCTTCTTCAGCTTTATGGAGGCATAATTGACCAATAAAATTATAAGATGTTTACAGCATACCACATGATGATGGCATGTTTTTCCAAACATACTTTTCTAAAAATAATGTTTTTCCAAAGAACAACTTTTACCTCTATAACCACAAGGCAATGAACAAATCCAAGAAATTTAGCACTGATACAGAACTAACATTTACTCTCTAGTCTATGTACAAGTGACTTTGTATCCTCAGTGCATTGCATTAGAGGGTAGGTATTTTCAGTTTGTCCTGTTATTGATGGTATTAAGTTTGATCACCAGGTTTTTCTGTTATAAATGTAAAGTTTTCGTTTTACTTCTGTAACTAGTAAGTCACATCTGGGGAATACTTTGAGACCTTACAAATCTCATTTTCTCCAAAAGCCTTTTACTCAGTCGTTTTAGCATACATTAATGAAATTTCACTGTATCAGTTTTTATAATGATGTTTACAAAATATCTGGATTCTGAAACCTCAGTAATCTGCCAATTTTTTTCTTTTTTTCCCAGATTTTTGGATATAATTGACATATAATATTGTGTAAGTTTAAGATGTACAAAGAGTTGATTCAATATATTTATATATTGCAGAATGATTACTACTGTGATGTAACCTAACACCTCCATCTCGTCACATATTTACCACTGATTTTTTTTTGATGAAAACATTTAAGATTTAGTCTCTTAGCAACATCCAAGTATATAATACAGTATCATTAGCCATAATCATCATGCTGTATCTTAGATCCCCAGAACTTTTTCATCTTGTAACTGTAAATTTGTACACTTCAACCAATATCTCTCCATTTTCCCCACACCCCAGCACCTGGTAACCAGTGTTTCTCTGAGTTCGGCTTCTTTAGATTCCACATATATGTGAGATCATACAGCATTTGTCTTTCTTTGTCTGACTTATTTCACTTAGGATAATGCCCTCAAGGTTCATCCAGGTTGTTGCAAATTGTAGAATTTCCTTCTTTCTCATGGCTGAGAAAGAAAATATTATTCATACACAATGGAATATTATTAATATATGTATATAACAAATATAATTATATATTATATATGTTATATTGTATAGTTATATGTTATATAATTATATATGTATGTTATATACATATAATGTCTTCTTTATCCATTCATCTGTTGATGGGCTCTTAGGTTGATCCACACCTTGGCTGTTGTGAAATTGTGCTGCAGTAAACATAGGAGTGCAGGTGTCTCTATGAGATACTAATTTCAATTCTTCTGGATATGTGCCCAGAAGTGGGATTGCCGGATCATAGGGTAGTTCTATTTTTAATTTTTTGAAGAACTTGCATATTGTTTTCCATAGTGACTGCACCAACTTACATTCCCACCAACAGTACACAGGGGTCCCTTTTCTCCACACTCTTGCCAACACTCGTCATCTCTTGTCTTTTTGATGATAGCTAGTCTACCAGGTGTGAGGAGATATCTCATGGTGGTTTTGATTTGCATTTCTCTGATGATGTGTGATGTTGAGCACCTTTTCATGTACCTGTTGGCCATTTGTATGTCATCTTTGGAAAACTGTCTATTGGATTCCTCTGCCAATTTTTAAAAAATGTTTACTTTGGAGGGGGAGGTAGGGTGGAGATAGAAGGGGACAGATGATCTGAAACAGGCTCCATACTAACAGCAGAAAGCCCCATGCGAGACTTGAACTGATGAATTGTGAGACCATGACCTGAGTCGAAGTCAGATGCTCAACTGACTGAGCCACCCAGGCCTCCCCTTTGCCCAATTTTTAATTGGATTGCTTGATTTCGCTTTTGAGTTATAGGAGTTCTTTATATTTTGGATATTAACCCCTTATCCAATGTATGATTTGGAAACATTTCACCCCATTCAATAGGTTGCCTTCTCATTTTGTTTGTCATTTCCTTCATTGTATAGAAGATTTTGTTTGTTTGATGTAGTCCCACTTAAACATTTTTGCTTTTATTGTTTGTGGTTTTGGTGTCATACCCAGGAAATCACTGCCAAGACGTTTGTTAACGTCAGGGAGTTTTTCCTTACGATTTCTTATAGGAGTTTTATGGCTTCAGGTCTTACAGTTAGGTCTTTAATCCATTTCAAGTTCATGTTTGCAAGTAGTGTAAGATAGAAGAATTTCATTCTTCTGCGTGTAGTTATCCAGTTTTCCAAGCACCACTTCCTGAAGAGACTATCCTTTCCCTCCATTGAGTATTCTTGGCTCCCTTGTCAAATATTAGTTGACCATATATATGGAGGTTTATCTCTGGGCTCTCGATTCTGTTTCATTGGTCCATGTGTCTGTTTTTATGCCAGCACCATACTGTTTTTATAACTATAGCTTTGTAGCATAGTTTGCCTCTAACTTTGTTCTTTCTCAGGATTGCTTTGGCTATTCAGGATCTTTTGTGGCTCCATACAGATTTTAGAATTGTTTATTCTATTTCTGTGAAAAAATGTCATTGGCATTTTGTTAGGGATTGCATTGAATCTATAGATGGCTTCGGGTAATATGGACATTTTAACTATTAATTCTCCAGACACATAACACAAGATATCTTTCCATTTGTTTCTATCTTTTAAATTTCTTTCATTCAATTCTTGTAGTTGTCAGTATACAGATATTTCACCAACTTGGTTAAATTTAGTCCTAAGTATTTTATTATTTTTGATGCTATTGTGAATGGGAGTGTTTTGTTTCTTTTTTAGATGTTTTGTTGTTAGTGTATAGAAACACAACTGTTTTTGATTTTTGTATCCTGCAACTTTACTGAATTCATTAATTAGTTCTAGCTTTTTTTGGGTGGAGTCTTGACAATTCTTTCTATGTAAGATCATATCATCTACAAACAAAGATAATTTTAATTTTCCTTTACTGTTTGGATGTCTTGTATTTCATTTTCTTGCCTGATTGCTCTGGCTAGGACTTCCAGTACTCTGTTGAATAGAAGCCATGAGAGGGGGACCCTTTTCTTGTTCCTGATGTTAGAGAAAAAGCTTTCAACCTTTCACCAGTGAGTATGATGTTAGCTGTGGGTTTGTCAATGTATGGCCTTTATTGTGTTGAGGTATCTTCATTCCATACCCAATTTATGAAAATTTTTATCCTGAAAGGATATAGTATTTTGTCAAATGCTTTTTCTACATCTATGGAGATGGTATATTACATCTATTGATTTATGTATATTGAATAATCTTTGAATCCCAGGGACAAATCCCACTTGGCCATGACATGCAAGCCTTTTAATGTGCTGTTGAATTTGGTTTTTTAGTATTTTGTTGAGAATCTTCGCATCTGTGTTCATTAACCTATAATTTTTTTTTTTTTTTTTTTTTTTTTTTTTATCTTGTGATGTCCTTATCTGGCCCTGGTGTCAGGGTAATACTAGCTTCATAATATGAGTTTGGGAATTTTCCCTCCTCCTCAATTCTTTGGAAAAGTTTGGGAGAGATTGAGGTTCATTCTTCTTTAAATGTTTGGTTGAATTCACCACTGAAACCATCGAGTCCT